TCCCTATGTATTAATTTGTTACTCCAGATCTTTCTTATTAGCATTGTAAATACTTGTTCATTTAGCAACTCTTTGTTACCAGTTGGAAAGTGCTGGGTGCCAAACCATGCCTAAATTTCATTTATTTACCTCATAATTTTGTAAGTTGAAGTTAACACTGGACTCAGCTGGGTAATTTGTAGTCACCTGTAGGTCTTCTGGGCAGCTCTGCTTCTGGGTATTTGCTTGCTGCTGGCTTAGACAACCTTTAGGGTGACAGGGGTGGGATAGTCCTGAGCCCTGTGTCTCTTGCCATCGAGCAGGTTGTCCTGGGCATGTTCAGATGGTGGTGACAAGGTTCCAAGTAGAAAGTGAAAATGTGTGAGGCCTCTTGAAACTTGCAATTCAGTTCAAGCACAGAGTTTCTTCAGCTATATTCTATTCACCAAATCAAGCCAGGATGCCAGTCCAAATACAAGAAGTGGAAAAGTAGACATGTATGACCTTTTGATGGAAGAAGCTGCAATGTCACAATACAAATTAGTAAGGCTATAGGAAGAGGAATCAGTGAGTGCCCTGAAACAATCTATCACATCTCAAATTGACTTCTGCACCTTATAGCTAAAGAACCTATATACCAACCAAAAATCTTTTTGAAAATATACCCTAAAACACTAGCATGTTCCTCTAACTTTATTGAAATAACTGATTATGGGAGATCTGGGAGTTAAAGTCAGTTCCTCCTCGTTGCACAGCTTAGAAACTATTTCTCATCCTTAGTTTCAGCACATTATGTCTTGAGATTACTTGTGACTCTCTGTAGCCCTCTTAGCCCTGTGGTCTCAATCATATCATCTTCCAGGTCTCCTGAAGTGTCATTGTATATCTTTCCCAGTTTTGACATATACCAATGTTATTACTACTTCCTGCTGTATCTAGTGTAACACTTGCTAAAAAATATGTGCATTTGCCTTTCTAAGATATATATTGAATTTTTTATAAGTTATATTTTCCTTTTATGTAACAGCCTCTTGGTAAGCTATATCAATCACAGAATATGGTATATGCTAATATTAATGTATACTGTTGTAGGTGTTACATGCCAATTTTCATCCAAGTTTTGACTCAGTTTAGTCCTCTTTAGATTGCAAGATCTAATAAGATCGTAGCACAGTGGGGTATAGCTGCAGGCAAAAAATTCTGCTTCGCAAATATGTTTTCTTTTACAGTAAGTTCATAAATTAGTACAGGGCACTGAGACACTATGGCTCTATGTGTACATTATGACAAAACTCTCTTTAGTTGACTACCTTCTTTTCAAGCTACTAGGTTCTCTGAAATTTTGCCAAACTCTTAGTCAGATGTAGCTTCAATGCATCCCACCCTCTCAGTGTGAAATGATAATTAATATAACTTCATAGTTGAGGTGGTGTTTGACTTCCATTAATAACACCCATTATTCTGGGGTGTTTTAATTTGGCCATAAAAATTGACTCTGGGGGCGGAACTTGGCTTGGAAACTTATTGTAAGAACAACTGGTTTGTTTCCATTATAATTTTTCTTTCAAAAGAGAAGGTTTCTTTTTTTTTCTGTAAAGGAAATTCTCTGTTATTTTTTAGTTATATAAGCATTAGGCCAAATTCCTAAAATATTGGTATGGTTTTGGATTTGTAATTGATTTGATATTATTCTATGATATCTCAAATAAGCCCTCAGACCTTCCACAGCCTCTCAGCTGGCTTGGATTTGGCAGGATTCAGAGCTCCTCCACATCTCACTAGTTGAGATCAGAGGATATTTCTTTCGTACTGCTTCTTTTTTTTTTTTTTTTGAGAGATTTTCACTGTAGGGCGCGTGCGCTCGCCAGACAGACAGAGAGAGACATAGAGACAGAAAGCGAGAAATCACCCCCCAGGGGGGATGGTCACGCCGCAATCCCTTCTCCTCTATTCTCCTCTCGGGATCTTGGGCACGCACGCACACAGGCCCGGCATGAGTTTTAAGCCACCGGGTCCGGGACACGAACCGCGGTCGACTACGTGGGAGTCCAGCGACATAGCCATTATGCTAACTGCTGGTTCCCTAGTACTGCTTCTTATACTTAAACATCGAATTCCCTTCCCAGCCAACAGTTTCTACAAGTTACCGACTCTATTGCATTTGATGACGAAGTCATCCATTTTTACATCGTATTTTGATGGATATTTTACTTTCTTTTTGTAGATCTTCTGGAAGAGACCCAAAGAAAAGATGTAGAAATGGAATCTCTTCAGGTAAAGTAAATTCTTAAATAGGGCAAGTATTGTTTTGTTTTTGCTCCATTATCTTTTATTATTGTCATATTCATATTGCTAAAATGAGTAGAGTGACAAATATAATATCAGAACTTTAAAGCTAAAATAGGATTTATTTCCTTTAGAAGTCATTGAGAGCACTTATAATCTAAACCAGGAAGCCAGCTCAGCCTCTCTGCTACTCTTGGAAGGAACTTTTATTCCTTGGGGTAGCTTAACAGTAACTGTAGCATTAGGAAATGAAGACAACATCTTCTCAGTTATTTCCTCAAAAACAGCCCTGATGAATGAGGCTGAATTCATGGAGCTACATTTTCAAGTGAAAGTCAAAAGTATCCTGATTCTATGGATGCCATCTATGAATGACAAGCCAAGAATGTTAACACATATATGGATTAAGATTTACCTTGTCTTAGAGCCCCTCAACTTGCTATGGTTTTATACATATTACATGAACTGGAAAATTGTGTTTGAAAGATTCTGCTAGAACTTTAATTGACATTTCCTTGGTAGTATGAGCAATTGATATTTGGTTGGCATCCTACTGAAGTTCTCTCTTCCTTTTCCATGGGACTGACTTACAAATGGGTAACTCAAATGTCCATCTTTATTAGGGAAAACATAATCAGTTATACTCACATGACAGAACCAATTCATTTAACATCACATTGGAGATTAAGAACAGTAAATACTTTGGACATCTAGAGTTCTTTGTGGGCCTAGAGCTATATGGTAGGACTGGAGAGTGATATAATGAGCTGACTTGAAAGTTTTAGAGGTAAAGATGTTTGCTTCTGTGAAATGAAGGATGGGTCAAATAAAGCCCAAAGAGCAAGAAAAATATGAAATTTTCTTTGGTTTGGGATTGATTTATTTGATGGTGGACCCATTAAAGGAAAATTCTATAATTGATCTGAAAATGCTCAGAACACATAGTTTGATGTGTAATAAAAGTGGCACATATTTACTACAATGTTGTAGCAGATTAAATTCTTTTAACATCTTGTGCTATACTCAGGTATAAAAAGAAGTATTGGTTGATACAATCTGGGGATAGGAAAAATCTCAAGTGTATTCTCACCATGCCTATCTTTGTAAAATATCAGCAGTTCTTATAGTTATGAAAAACAAAGCTCTATGTACACTAATTAGTATATTGAGTAGGTAATAAGGTCTTTTTTGAGACATCTTGGTTATGTGTTATGTTTGCCATTGGGCTCGGACTACTACGTATAAACACATTTATTGAGTAGGTATCTGGCCTTTTGAAATGGCAACACAAATAGTTTTTAGTTTATTTTTTTGCACCATACAAGTGTTGGAACCAGTAATCCCATTAAATTTTTTTTTTTTTTTTTTTTTTTTTTTT